GTAAAACAAACAAAGGCAGGACTTATAGAATTAATGGTAGGGCCTTGGGTAGTGTTGTAGAACAGATACCTAGGGGTTCAGGTACATAATTCTTTGAAGTTTGCATCACATGTAGATAGGGCAGTTAAGAAGGCATTTAGCACGTTTGTCTTCATTGCTTAGATCGTTGAATTTAGGATTTGGGACGTCATGTTGAGGTTTTACAGAAGGTGAGACCTTTTCTGGAGTACTGTTACCAGTTCTGGTTGTCCTGTTTTTAGGAAGGATATTATTAAACTGGAGAGGGTTCAGAAGAGATTTAGCAAAATGTTGCTGGGAATGGAGGATTTCAGCTATAAAGAGAGGCTGGATAGGCTCGGACTTTTTTCACTGGAATGTAGGTGTTTGAGGGGTAACCTTATAGAGGTGTATAAAATCATGAGGGGTATTTATAAAGGTGAATGGCAAGTGTCTTTTCCCTCGGATGAGGATTTCAAAACTTAGCGGGCATATTTTTAAGGTGAGCGGAGAAAGTTTTAAACACCAGAGGAGCAAATTTTTACAGTGTGGTTCTTTTGTGGAATGAACTTCCAGAAGTGGGGGATGTGGGTACAGTTACAACATTTAAAAGTCATTTGAAGAAGTACATGAATAAGAAATCTTTGGAGGGATATGGGACAAGCACTGGCAGGTGGGACTAGTTTAGTTTGAGATTATGGTCGGCATGGACTGGTTGGACCTAAGAGTCTGTTTCTGTGCTGTATGACTCTAGATAATAACTGATAATAGTTTAAGATGTCCCCCTTAAAAAAGGCCTATATCACAAAATTAACCTAAGTTAACAACCAGCTCAGATACGTTCGAGCTTTTCACTGGTGGGCATGCTTTAGATAATCACTGTACCTTCTGTGCACTTGAAATTATTTTCTTATTTACATACCAGCAGAAACGTTTAAAGGCAATTAAAATATAGAAGCATGTTTTTGTTCAAGGTATCAAGTTTAAAGAAAAAAAAATCCACCTTGGTCAATTCTTGATTTACAATACACAGTAACCCCTTCAGTCTGGAAGATTTGGCCCTAGTTTTTTCTAGGTTTCAGAATTTTCTGAATAACATTATGACATTAGAATGCCTAATCACAAATGTGTGAACTAAAAGCCCCTTTGGTTGTAAATATTCACCTGAAATATACAGGAGTGATAAAATATTACATCACAGTATTAAATATTATTTTGCTTCTTAAATACTTTATCTTCCATGTCTCTGCTCCCAAAGTAAGTTAAGATGGAGAGTGACATAGTTGATTTTGGAACTAGTGACCTGAATCTAAATAAAGGAAACTATGATGGTATGAGGCATGAGCGAGCTATGATAAATTGGGGAATGTTACTTTAAGGGATGATACTGCATAGACAATGGCAAATGTTTAAAGTGTGAATGAAGAAACTGCAACAGAAGTATTAGATCCAAGGAAGAAACATACAAAATTTGGCCAAAAAACCCCAGCAGACCTGAGAATTGGGAGCAGTTTAGATTTCAGCAAAGAAGGGCCAAGAGGTTGATTAGGAGGGGGAAAACAATGCAAAAGTAAGTTTGCAGGGAACATATAAACTGATTGTAAAAGCTCCATTAGGTATGCAAAGACAAATATTGGACCCTTCCAAACAGAAACAGAGGAAGGTTTTTGGGGAACAAAGTGATAGTAGACCACTTAAATAAATATTTTGGCTCAGTCTTCAGATAGGAGGACAAATAATGTTTCAAAAAATGTTAGGGAACACAGGGTATAGTGAGAGGGAGGAACTGAAGAAAATCAGTATGAGTAGGGAAATAGTGTTGGGGAAATTGATGGAATTAGAGGTCAATAAATTCCCCAGAGCCAGATAATGTACATCCCAGAATACATAGGAACTGGCTCAGGGAATAATGGATGTGTTCATTGGTGGTCATCTTTCAAGATTCCATACACTCTAGGACAGTTGCTTTGATTGAAGGGCAGCTAATGTAACCACACTATTTTAAAACAGGTGGTAAACAGAAATTGGGGAAGTATAGACCAGTTAGCCTTACATCAGTAGTAGGGAAAATGCTAGAGGCTGTCATCAAAAACTTAATAGCAGAGCCCTTAGAAAACAGTAACAGGATTGGACAGAGTCAGCATGGATTTATGAAATAGATTTGTCAAGCTTGATTTCTACTGGAGTTTTTTGAGGATGTAACTAGTAGAATTGATGAGCAGGAGCCATTGAAATGTGGCTTTCAATAAAGTTCCACAAAAGAGATTAGCATGTAATATTAAAGTGCATGGAATTGGGATCATGTCCTGACATAGACAGGGAATTAGTTGGCAGATGGGAAACTAAAAATAAGAATAGGTATTTTTTTTTCCTCTGGCAGCTATTGACAATTGGGTACACAGGGATTGGTGCTTGTGCCTCAGCTATTCAAAATATATGGTCATGGTTTTGATGAGGAAATGAAATGTCATATCTTGAAGTTGGCAGATGAACAAAACTGGATGGGAGTGTGAGCACAGAGGGGAATGCAGAGCGGTTTCAGTGTAGCTTGGACAAGTTGAATGAATGGGCAAATGCATAGCAGATGAAGTGTAATGTGAATAAATGTGATGTTATCCACCTTCATAGCAAATACAAGAGGTCACATCATGATCTAAATAGAATTAGATTGGGAAAGAAGAGGAGCAGCAAGACATGGATGCCCTTGTACACCAGTTGCTGAAAGTAAGCATGCCAGTGCAGCATTCATTAAAAAAAGGTAAATGGTATGATGGTTTTCATAGTGAGAGGATTCAAATACAAGAAGAGGGATGTCTCGTTGCAATTGTACAGGGCTTTGGTGAGAATACATCTGCAGTATTCAATGCAATTTTAGTTTCCTCATCTGAGGAAAGATGTTCTGGCTATGGACGGAATGCAAAGGTTTACCAGACCGTTTTGTGGGCTGACAGGACTGATGTATGAAGCAAAACTGCAACGGTTAGAACTATATTGAGTATAATTTCGAAGAACAAGGGGAATTTCATACAAACCTATAAAATTCTATCAGTCCTGTACAGGATATACAGAAAAAGGGCATTCCCAGTAAGTGGGGAGGCCAGAACCATAAGTCATAGCCTAAGGACATGGGTTTGGCTACTTAGGACTGAGATGAGGAGAAATTTCTTTACCCAAAGAGTGGTGAGCCGGTGGAATTCTGTTTTTAAAAGTGATTGAGGCCAAAACATTGATTTTTTTTTTCCAAGGAGTAGTTAGACATAGTTCTTACGGCTAAATGGATTGGGATAAAGTGGGAACAGGATACTGAGTTAGATGATCAGCCATGATCATACTGAATGGCAGAGCAGGCTTGAAGGGCCAAATGGCCTACTACTACTACTGCTATTTTCTATGTTGAAAGGTAACAGTCTTCACAAGGACTTAAGTTGATAAGAAAGCAAATTGAAAAGGAATGCAGAACCAGTGACAACAATAGGGTTTGTGACAGCATGAAAGTAGCATCTGCACTACTGGCATAGCTTTATTTATTGATGAGGGTATGTGATAAAAACGCTAAAATATTCAACAACAAGTGAACTGTAAAACACTAAGTTGTCATGCACACTGTTTCAAAGAGAGACATTATTAGACTTTCACCCAGTGTGTCTCGGAACGTATGCTTAAATAAAATCTGTATTAACTCCGCCCAAGATTCAAAAGTAGCTGTCCTAAAATCAATACAAAAGTTTCATGGGTGCTTGTAATATTGTCCAAAAGTTTTTTTTTCATGCGTAAAATTAAACTTAAGATTTTGCAAGTTTTCAGTTTGTGTAGGCTATCATCGCCAAGACTAATCCTGTCTTCATACAATGTATTCAAATCCAATGTAATACTAAACAAAGATAAGGTCTGGTTCACAGATTCATGTCCTTGCAGAAGGCCATTGGACCTATTGTGCCTGCATCAGTTCTATTACCTAGTGCCAATCTCCTGTCTTTTTTGCCCCCCATCTCCTTGTACATCATTTCTATTACAATAATCATCAATGCCTCAATTGAATCTGCCTCCATCACATTTCCAGGCAGTGCATTTCATACCCTATCTATTCGCATTGTGAAAAAGTTTTTTTTTCTCACATCACCCTTGCTTCTTTGGCACATCACTTTAAATCTAGGTCTCTTTTTCTTTTAAACGAGCAAGGTATAGTTTCTCCCTGTATTCTTCCAGCCTGCTCATGATTTTGGAAACTTCTACCAAATCTCCTCCCAGCCTTCTCTCCCAGAAGTACAGTCCCATATTCTTCAAAACTATTCTCAGGAAGTGTCACTGGACCTGAAATGTTAACTCTGATTTCTCGCTGCAGATGGTGCCAGACCTGCTGAGCTTTTCCAGCAACTTCTATTTTTGTTGGCCCAGAATCTTCAATCTATCCTTGTAACTGAAGTTTCTCATTTTCGGGAACTGTTTTTCTGTAAATTGCTTCAAAAGTCTCCAATGCATTCATACCTTTCCTATAATGTGGTTCTCACAACTCTGCACAGTAATCCAGCTGAGGTCTAACATGTATCTTGTACAAGTTTAATATCCTCTCCTGGTTACCTTAGCTGATTGTTTCTTTTCTTGCTTAAAGGTCCAAGGCCAATATTAGAATAATATTGCCAAACAACATAAGGAACCTTGCGATTCAATTTCAGAGTGAAGCTTTTTAATGTTTAAAGGGAAAATGTATAAAATGGGAACTATGATGTCAGGACGGTGAGCGGAAGTCGGCAGTAAATATTTTAACGTAATATTCTGATATTGTGGTATTGTAAACCTTCGGTTTCGAAATTCGTACTGCCATGTTCATGAGTTGAGGTTAAACAAATCCAGAATGAGAACCAAAGCAAATATGCAGACGGAATAAAAGAGCAATAGAAGCAAAATGATCTTGTATTTAAACGACACCTTATGATGCTTACAGCCGCTCCCACAACCAGAAATGCTAAACTAAACACCAACTACCCCATGGAGATAGTCCCACCTAGCGCCTGCGCCTTCCTGCCCGGACCCGGATATTTCCCGAGTTTCCGGCAGAACTATTGCTGGTGTTGCGGTTGATGGCTGCTCGCGTGTTGTTGCAGCAATGTCTCTCTGCCCGGCTGCAAGTGAAGGAGGCGGAAGAAGGTGCTGCAGCTGAATGGATTCAGGTACCCGGCGGGACACTGGCGACTCCGCTTCGGTTCAGTTTCGCCACTGTGAGCAGATTTGCCCGACGCCTCGTTCTTCCCGGCAACCAACTCAGTTTGGACGGGAATCTAAGGAAGTGTAGGGCCTCTGGGACTGTGAAATGAAATAAAGCTTTGAATTCTTTCCTGTCCCACCGACTTTCCACTCCAACGCTTTTCTTTCCGTCTCTCCTACCACCCGCACCCCCTCTCCGAGGTAAAAGAATAATGTCTTACGCAGCCTTTCACTCAACTTCCATTTTTCTCTTTTTCATGAAGGTAGAGTGTATTTTTTTTGCTCTGATTACCTTGACTTACAGATTCAAAGAGGGACATTGATCTACGTCTGCTTTTCCAAAGGTGCTACTGTTGACATTATTCCCAAAATGGGTAAGTGTAGAGCATATGGATTGTCATGTCCCACCTACTCCGTACGTGTATAGTAACAAACAGGTTAATTAAAAATATCAGAGATAGTAGGAACTGCAGATGCTGGAGAATCCGAGACAACAAGGTGCAGAGCTGGATGAACACAGCAGGCCAAGCAGCATCGTAGGAGCAGAAAGGCTGATGCGGCGGAGGCAACCACCTGGAAACCGATATCCATTTCAAGCCCACTGACTCCCACAGCTACCTAGAATACACCTCCTCCCACCCACCTTCCTGCAAAAATGCCATCCCCTATTCCCAATTCCTTTGCCTCCGCCGCATCTGCTCCCAGGATGAGGCATTCCACTCCCGTACATCTCAGTTGTCCTTGTTTTTCAAGGACCGCAACTTCCCCCCCCGCCCCATCAGTGGTCGAGAATGCCCTCAACCGTGTTGCCCACATTTCCCGCAACTCAACCCTCACACCCCGTCCCCACAATAAGAACCAAAAAAGAATCCCCCTCGTCCTCGCGTACCACCCCACCAACTTCCGGATCCAACGCATCATCCTCCGACACTTCCGCCATCTGCAATCCGACCCCACCACCAAAGACATCTTTCCCTCCCCACCCTTATCTGCTTTCCGGAGGGACCACTCTCTCCATGACTCCCTTGTCCGCTCCACACTCCCCTCCAGCCCCACCACACCCGGCACTTTTCCCTGCAACCGCAGGAAGTGCTACACCTGCCCCCATACCTCCTCCCTCACCCCCATCCCAGGCCTCAAGAAGACTTTCCACATCAAGCAGATGTTCACCTGCACATCTGCCAATGTGGTATACTGCATCCACTGTACCCGTTGTGGCCTCCTTTACGTCGGGGAAACCAAGCGGAGGCTCGGGGACTGCTTTGCAGAAC